TTGTTCTAGTTAAACAGTTCAACTGAAACATATTTTCTTTAGTCCAACTGTTTTTAATATTCCTTTTTGTTTCTGCATTTTTTTTTACTACTTGCTTTGATTCTGTTTTATCTTCCTGTAATTTAATAATGTAAAGCACTTTGTCTTTGTACTGAATTGTGCTATACAAATAAATTTGCCTTGCCCTGCCTTGGTAAATTTGGTCTAGAGTCACCACTGATTGTCGCAGTCCCTAATGTTTACTTCCAATAAAAGAAAACACCTTGTCACAAAGGTTTAATCATCTAAAACTGGCACTGAATTCCACTGTCGCTTCATGCTTGCTCATCATGCACAGGTTCTCTCAACCTGTGTTATCTAAGCCTCAAATTATCTTAAAACCTACTTTTATTGAACAACAGCAACAGAAAAGAGAACTTTTAACTTAATACTCTAAATTTCGTGAGTTAGGAAGATGGGCAGCTAACCAATGGGCAGAAGTTGAGCCCTTAACAAACACTCCTCCTCATTTGCATAATGAGGCAGAAATAAATACAGAAATGTAAATATGACAGGCAGAAATAAATAGCATGGGAGAACTAAATAGGGTAAAAAAAAAATGCAAAGAAAGAACAATACAGACAAAAAATATATAAATAAATTGTAAAAAAATAAGTAATATATAAATAAAGTTGAAGATTATAACAAACAATAAATAAATAAGGTAATTATTACAAACGCGAAAAAAGAAAGAAGCTAATTAAAAGATATATATATATATATATATATGTCTCACTGTATAATTTTATTTCTACTTACATTTATTTATTTATTGTATTTTTGTTGGGCAATTAATTGTATGCTTATTTATTTTTGGAGCATTTATTTATTTCTGTATTTATTTTTAATTATGGCAGGACTGGTCCTCCATAGTTGTGAGCACCTTGTGTCCTTTGTCTTTTCCTCTTCATGTGAGATTTTCAGATGGATTTACTATAGCTTTTAAAAGCTAGATTTACTATAGATTTACTATATTTATACTTATAAAAAAATTATGATAAAATGACTCATATTTGTTTGGAATACTTACTAATACACAAACACATTATATTTGGAAAGGAACACAGCCTGTATTTTCTTTCTACTTATGTAAATTAGTTAGCAGTTAGCTGCGATGTGTTAGCTTGCATATATCCAAATAAGTTAAAAAAAAAAACAGCTAGTTCTATATGACAGCATACAATATAAGCAGTTTAACATGAACGCTTTACTGCTAAATCATGATGCTGTATTCACCAATGAAAATGTTTAAAGCTAATTAACAGAAAACATCAAGGACAGCTAAAGGGATCAACAAAGTCATTAGCATTTATCCTGAGGGGAACGTGCTAATCCAGACATGTTTAACTGGACCAAATGTTGACTGATGTTAAATATAGACTGCTCTCGTGGGGAAAATGTAAATTAGTTTAATTTTTTATTTACAAATCTGTTTGGCAGCCCACAGCGGAGGCCTTGAAGGGAGCCATCCAGCTGGGTATCGGCTATGCTGTTGGAAACCTCAGCTCCAAACCTGACAGAGATGTTCTCATGCAAGATTTCTCCATGGTAGAAACTGTCTTCTTGCCCAGGTAAACATTTACTGATGTAATATATACCTTTTTATCCCTTTTTGTGAAAGTTGGGCCCTTTTTTCCAAAAGTAATGTGACATACCTTTGTGGTAATACAGTCATTTGTGATGATTTATGTATATTTTGGGCAAAAAAAAGACTAAAAGACGACATTTATTCTATGTCAAACTGAAAAAAAGACACCGTTTTCACATTTTATTTACCCAGAATAGAAAATGAGTGAATATCTGAATAGTTTTCCTTAGCAGGGGGAGTAAAGTTTTTGCATCGTGGTTAGATTTAGTCACGAATAAAATGGCTCACCAACAAGGGCAGCTCACATTGGTGGGCAAAACCGGACTTTGGATGCAAGATACAGTTTTCTGCAAAGGTGTCAAGTAATTAAATACTTTCTTACTGTACTTAAAGGCATACTATGCAACATTTTTCAGTTAATTAATGTGTTCCATAACGTTTTGGATGATTAAATGAGTCATTTCAGGTCAAATAAAGGTTTTCTCGGCCGCCCTGGTGGTCTGTAGGGGAAATACCATACTTGCAATCGCAGGAGCCCTCGGCCCGCACCCACAGGCTCAGAAGTCTCGTGCATCGCGAGAGTCGGTCTTGCTTTACGGCGAGAACTGCTACACGCACCCAGTGAAAGGCATGCTCGTTGCTAGCGCAGTGGCGATATCATGGTTAGTTAACATGCTAAATTTTCAAACTCGAAAATTGGAACAAAATAGTCACTTACCGCAGTAGACATGGTGATTTGTTGCGTTCGCCTGTCTGCTAAGTTCAAAACAACCGCGCCTGGCTTGACGGAGAAACCAGGAGAACAGCTGACTATATT